GGGTGGGGATGGATATGCTTAAACCTGCCTCCGCCCCATTGTCATGCCTAGGTAGTTGACTTCGATGACCTTGGCGTTCACTCTCTCTCCAATGTTGTTTCCAAGGTTACATCCGAATCCAACCCATAATTTAACATTTCAGATGTGCATATCCGAAGTAATTTAATTGTTTAATTTTTTAACAGAACATCAGAAACCACCCACACAAAACTCATTTCAAACCTCAAACCACCCGCACAAAATTTCTACTCAAACTTGATATTCCAACTCATTTCAACTCATTTGTACTCATTTCAACTCATCTACTCATTTCAACTAATTCTAGCTCATATCTAAAGCTCTAAATTTATGTAAGTTTTCTTCATTTTCATTTGATACACTTTACAATGCTATAATAGTTTATTCGGTTAGGTAGAATCAATTACATTGTGTAGGTTGATGTTAGAGTAGTTAAATATTGGTGGTTGGGGTGATAAAATAAGGTTTTTGGATGATTTAGGGTAAGAAGAAGGAGTTATTCTAAAATGGTTGTTCGCATGTGATTTCTAATGTGCACATCTGAATCCTCCTCCCCCCCCTGTCCAATTTCGGATGTGTGCATGCGAGTTCTTGCTTGAGTTAATTTTTTTAGACGAGCATATTAATAATTACACACTTTTCAAGAAGATGGATGACAACCAGGACCCGAACAATCAATTGAGACAAGGCTGACCAAGTCAGAATGCCTCTGCTCGGTGTGAGAGAGTTGAGTAGCATGTTAACAGGCCTCGGGGACAGAGTCGAGTATGGCGGGAGAAAGTTCCTGGAGGTTCCACTTCTATACTAAGGAGTCTCCTGTCTCAGGCGTCATCCTCTCGTGCGCATAAGCAGATACCCAATGAGGAGGAGGTACTCGAGCAGATTGAGGTACTTGAGCAGGTTCAGGTACCCAAGCAGATTTGAGGTACCTGAGTAGGTTCAGGTACCCAAGCATATTTGAGGTACCTGAGTAGGTTCAGGTACCCGAGCAGTTTTAGGTACCCGAGGAGGCGAACCTCGGTATCCAGGAGGGAATTCTGACACCTCACTCTTGATCTACTATAATGATCATGCTGCTCGGCATGTTTGGAATGAATATGTATATTTTTGGTTTCACTTTTTCATTTTAAAGGTTTACTCACAAATATTATTTTAATAGTTATTATTATTTTTCTTATAGGAACGGTTGCCCATTAAGTCCGTGAATCACTCGCAGAAAATCTTTAAATTATTTATACTTGCGACGACTTAGTTCCATGGGGTTGTTGTTTGATTCGGACTTGCCAGACTATATTGTACTGGTTATGTTGCTATAAGCCATGACATGCATGGGTATTTGTCGAGATGTGACACAAAGAGACGTCTTCTTTCCATTTTCCTATTGGGGAGATGACGATCACACTTGATGACATGGATTGCGTGCTCCACCTACCTATCAGAGGGAGGTTACTTAACCATCACAAGAGATTATCTGGGAGATAATCCATTTCAGGCAGCTGAAGACTGCATAACAAATAATGGGGTGCATGCAAAGTTCTCCAGCTTGAAAAACTTATATGAAGAGCACCTAGTTGCAGCAGCAGGGGCCGAGGACGAGGGTGACAAGGTTTTTGTTCAGTACCACTGAGACTGTGCTTTGTGATGTTACTTCATGTTCTTGGTTGGCACGTCCCTATTTGTGGATAAAAGTGCAACCTACGTGGATGTGACATACCTCTGGTATTTTATGGATTTGAGTCCAATTCGTGAGTGGAACAGGGAGGCTCCATTTTGGCATACCTCTACCAAAAGTTGAATGAAGCTTGAAACTGGAGGATGAGGCAGCTCACTAGCTCTTGCACACTCCTCACAGTACCTTTCATTCCAACTATTACATTTAATTTACATATTCTCTTATTTGTGTTTCAGAGTTGGATAATCTCTCACTTCCACCACATCCATGGTTTCGAGCGTGATCCGACTTATACTGAAGACACGTCGAGGGATGCAAAGTATGTACTCCATCGAGGGAATCATAAAGTGTCGCCTTACCAGGTGTATCTTGATCGTATTAATCATTCGAGGATTACAAGGATGTTGTCACATTCGACACCATCTCATTATACTCTGGGTGGCTAGCTTGTGGGTCGATTATTATGGTCAGGTATCTTCTGAAGTGGTGCATCTGATAGTTTGTCTATATGTAGAAGATACCGAGATCTCCTTTTCAGGCTGCTCCCGACACCATTGTTCGTCGGGTACTCGATGACATTTTCTAGAATTAGGAGAATTATTTGGTGTCACAGGAGTATCGAATGATGCCGACATCCCAGAGTTGACATTATGTAGAGGGATGCGTGACATGGTTCTTTAACGTGTCACACCTTATCATGACACATGATGGTCCAAGATGTCCACCTAGGCCAACTTATGAGGATTTCTTGGAGAACCAGCAGACCAAGGATGACCATATCACTAATCCCTTGTCGACCTGTCAACGGATACACATCCTTGGGCAAGAGGTATTGGATTCCGCGATCATTGAGAGGGGCGGCCCTGAGGCGGCTGCCATCGTTGGGAGGATGGTTACAGAGGCATCCAATGTTGCACAATATAGGAGGCAAATGAGGTCACAGGGGGTTAGGATTAGGCATACGCAGTAGCAGTAACCTATGTTATGTTTTTTTTATCGATGTAATATTTTGACATTACGCACTTTCTGAAAAACTTATATATATTATATTATGTTTCCCTAATTTTGAACATCTAATCTAATTGTTATGTTTGTATTGTTATATTCGTTTCATTTTTCGTCCAAATCGTATCATTTTATGATAGTTTGTTTATTAGGTAGTGATAATGGTGATGTTTTAAACAAAAATGACACAAACAAAGGTAGTTTCGGATATGCATATCCGAAAAATCTGTTGACATATTCGCAGGTAATTTCGGATATTCATATCCATAACTATCTCTAGAATTTTATATCCAAAGTTTAAAGAAAAATTATATTTTTAGATATACATATTCGAAACATGTTGAAAAGTGCGCAGACATATACATAGAATATTTTCAAATTTTCAGAAATGTGGAGAAAGAAATTCTTAACATTTTTAACACATTAAGCTTTTGAAATTTAGAGTTTTTTTTTTTGGCTTTATAAGAATGTCAAAACATCATTTTATAAAAAAAAATATTTGTTTAAATTTTCCTACTAGATCGATCTACCAGGGAATAAAAATCCCAATAGTGTACACCTTAACACGCCTAGCATTAGATTTGTGAGTATTTCATACTAGATAAAAACAAAATTTGGATAATACTCCCAACGGTCGTATTGGCTGTCTTAAGATTTTATGTTGTGACCGTTGGATCACCAATCGTATATTTGCCGTTGTTGCTAAAGTGAGAGTCTATTTTGATTAACGGTGGATAAAATTGATTTTAGTAAAATTAAATTTTATAATCAATACTATAAAATTAACCTAAACATCTTAAGATCATCTATAATCAATACTATAACTTTAAAATTACTTTTGATGTTTTCAAAAACCAAACGAAACATACCCTTTTTTTTTTCACCGTGAGAATCTTTGTGAGACAACAACCCTGACACATTCATTATCTTCCATTTCTAGAGAGAGAAAAATAGTTAAAACTTTGATTTTTGAATCGTCTTTGTGAAGTGAAAAACTGTGAATGTTTTTACCTTCCATTACACTTCCTGTCTTGTCCTTTTGTACTCAAGTGTGAAGAAGCTCGTTTACTTCTTACTTCTTAGCTCAGTGTTTTTTTTTTAACTTTTTTTTTTCTTTTCTAAACTTGATCATATCATTTCAATCTAGGTGGAAGATTCTTCTTTTTTGAGAATATGTGTCTTTTTCTGAATTAAGAAGTAGAAACCATTTATGGGTTTTTTCTGATTTTGAGAAAACTGCTTCTGGGTCTTTGTCTTTGTGTCTTTGTAGCATAAAAGACACGTTTTTGCTCAAGATCACAATGTCTTGTCTTCATTCATTATTCTAGAACCATTCCACAACTTGTATATTCTATAACCAGAGAGAGAGAGAGAGAGAACTCTGAAGTTTGAAGATTAAGCCAAACTCAGTTACTGGTTCTTTAAGGTTAGTTGTTTTTTTGTTTTAGTTTTAGTTTTAGTTTTTGTTCTTTGCTTTGATGATTCATTTTACGTACACAAGTATACAACTGTGGATAGAGACTTGTGTCTTTCTTTAGAAGGAAAGCCTTTCCCTTTCTCTTATTAATGAGGAGAAAATTGGAAAATTACAGCTAACAGTTGATATAGATCAGACTCAAAACCATGCTGACATATCTTTCTGCTACCATTATTTCATATATGGTTGAAAAGTAAAGTTAGAGATTTCTCATTTGAGTTGACCAATTTATCCCTCCAAAGACTTCAAAATTACCATTTTTTTTATATTTTGTATTTAAAAGGGTATTTTTGGATTTTGACTAAAAGATCTGCCGACTGATTCTTTATTAGATTGCATTATTGGTAGTTAATTAATCCATTGATTAGTTATAATCAATCTTTAAATTTATATTGCATGTGATGTATGATATGATATTATACTGTATGGTTGTAATTTTTTAGGGGCATTAAATGGTTATTGGCTAAAGTAAGAGAAACTACTAGTGGGACATGTTTAGGTACTTGAGATTTGTTGGCCAAGTCATGTTTTAAGTAAACAAGCTTTGATTATTATATCTTAGGAGATTCTAGAAATTTGTTAGACCATTTGTTTTTTTGTGCTTCACAATTTTTCTATTGGAATCTTAATTTATAATTTAAGATTTTTTTGTTATATGATTGCAACTGCTCCACATAGTGTTTATGTCAATTATTATCAATAAATTTTATATTTGCAAATTGATATCTTTGATCATTTCTTTGATTTTGATTAAGACTTGGTTTTCTTGCAATTTGATTTGTTGTGTCAGTTTTTCTTTGTGATTATAATTTGTAATCATCATCAATTATGGAGGAAGATGGTGTTGATGCATGTTGTTCAATAGAAGATTGGTTGTTACATGTGAAGGAGCTTGTTCCTATTGCTCTTGATAAAGCAAAAGAGGTTATGGTTAAAGGTTTTTCTGGTAGATGGAAAATGATTATTTCTAGATTAGAACAGATTCCGTTGATGTTATCTAATTTATCGAGTCATCCGTGTTTCTCAAAGAATGCTCTTTGCAAGGAGCAGTTGCAGGCTGTGTCGAATTTGCTCAGAGACGTGATCAAATCGGCTGAGTTGTGTTTGAAGGAGAAATATGAAGGTAAGCTTCAGATGCAAAGTGATTTGGATGCGTTGATTGGGAGAATGGATTTGAATTTAAGAGATTGTGGACTTTTGATCAAAACTGGTATGCTCGGCGAGGCTACTGCGCCGTCCGTGTTAGGTTCTGTGGAACAATCAGATGCTGCAGCACATAATAACATAAGGGAGTTACTCGCGCGACTTCAGATTGGTCATTTGGAATCAAAGCACAAAGCTTTGGATTGTGTTGTTGAGGTTATGAAAGAAGATGAAAAGAATGTTTTGGATGTTTTGAGTAGGAGCAACATTGCTGCATTGGTTCAATTGCTTACTGCATCATCAACAAGGATAAGAGAGAAAACAGTTACCGTCATATGCTCGCTCGTCGAGTCGGGTAGCTGCGAGGATTGGCTAGTTTCCGAAGGTGTTCTTCCGCCTCTTATTAGGCTTGTTGAATCAGGCAGTGCTGTAGGTAGAGAGAAGGCTGCGATATCGCTGCAGAGGCTATCTATGTCAGCTGAAACATCACGTGAAATAGTCGGACACGGAGGCGTTTGTCCGCTGATCGAGCTTTGTCAAACCGGAGATTCTGTTTCGCAGGCTGCTGCAGCTTGTACATTAAAGAATATATCAGCTGTTCCTGAGGTGAGACAAGTTTTAGCCGAAGAAGGGATTGTTAAGGTTACTATCAATCTGTTAGCCTCTGGAATGTTGTTAGGTTCGAAAGAATACGCAGCAGAATGTTTGCAGAATCTCACTGCAAGCAACGAAAGCCTAAAACAATCCGTTGTATCGGAAGGCGGTGTCAGGACTCTTTTAGCCTATCTCGACGGTCCACTTCCTCAAGAATCTGCTGTCGCGGCGTTGAGAAATTTAGTCGGATCGGTTTCTGAGGAAACATTGGTTTCGTTAGGATTACTTCCGCGATTAGTTCACGTGCTGAAATTCGGATCCTCGGGAGCACAACAAGCCGCTGCATCAGCAATCTGCCGAGTTTGCAGCTCGACCGAGACGAAAAAACTAGTTGGCGAATCTGGCTGCATTCCTCTCCTTGTTAAGATGCTTGAAGCAAAACCAAACAGTGCAAGAGAAGTTGCTGCACAAGCATTATCATGTTTGATGACAGTGTCTTATAACAGAAGAGAAGTTAAAAAAGATGATAAAAGTGTGCCTAATTTGGTTCAGTTGCTTGATCCTGGTCCTCAAAACAATGCAAAAAAATATGCAGTTCTTTGCCTTGGATTGATTTCTTCAAGTAAGAAATGTAAGAAGCTAATGATCTCATATGGTGCTATTGGATATTTGAAGAAACTTAATGAGATGGATATTCCAGGAGCTAAAAAGTTACATGAGAGATTAGAAAAAGGAAAGTTAAGAAGTTTGTTTGGTAAGAAAATAGTGTAAAAAAAGTGTTGCATCCTTTTTTTTGTTTCATGATGCAAAATAGTTAAGACTGTATAAAATGTGGAATGCACAAGCTTGTAATCCACCATGTATTGTAATCAATGTTACATTACTATATATAAAGATATTTAAACTTTGTTTAATGTCTCTGCTATGTTTTTGCTCCTCTAAATTTTGAATAGTAGGGGAATATTTTATTGAGATTGGCTATGATTTTGTTATAAACTTTAAAACCAAGCTTGTTATTATTGAATCAATAAAAATATTTCAAAATACGTAGGCTAATTGATGGACTAATTTCAATGTAAGTGAATAATTTAAAGAGTTGGTTAACTACAATTAATTAATTTGACAATAATTTAAATTATTTCCTCTGACTTGGATTTTAAAATCAACAAAGTCTCACTCAACATCCAAGTGGAAAATATCCCACTTCACTCCATATCGTAGAAGTATAGTAGCTCGCATCACTACAAGGATTGACAAGAGTCTAATCTTTTGAGAAATTTTTTAAAGCAAAAAATCAAAGTGACAAAAATGATTTGAATGAGGTTGATTGACTTTTAGTTTCTCACAAAAAATGTCAAAGTATGATTAAATTGGTTAAAGTTTGATTAAGAAAATATTTTTTTGAAAATGCATGGACCTAAGTTAAAGTTTATTATGAAAGCGGTTCAAGTTAGAAAAACCAGAAGAGTTTTGAAAAGGAGGGAGGAGATTTTTGAAATTAAAGAAGATTGGAGGAGACGAAGAGACTATCATAAAACATAAAATAAAAGCTAGGGAAAAGAATCATCTAACCAACAAAAAGTCAATACTTGACACAAAGAGTCAATGTAGAATTTTCATCATTTGGATTGAAACCAAGCAAGCAAAGATATTAAAGCTCTTAAGAATACCAAGCTCCAGATGGATTAAGTCTTCAAAAATTGGATAGAGTAACAATTGTATACAGAGGAATTCTCAATCATAGACAAAGCACATAATCAGAATAACCTGCACACAAAGAAAATCAACCCAATATCTTTGGGTGAACCCCGAGAGCTCCAGACAATAACAACAGAGTCACAAGGTCCCAAGGGTGGTCAATGCTTCTAATCCTAAGTCCAAGAAGTCCACAACTCCATAATGCCAAGGATAGTAACCAAATAGTCCAAGTAACTTTAAATTTTTTTACTGTTCAAGTTGGTTATTAAGCGTCTTTAAAAAGAAAATGAAAAGCTCAAGTGAGAAAAATAAAAATGACATAAAGATAAATGATCAAGTGAGCAAAAATGAAAATATGAAATGTAAAATGCTAAAATAAGTAGTGCGTAAAAGTAAAGGCATAAAATAAAAGCATAAAGTAAAAGCACAAAGTAAAAGTCAATTTAGTGAATTAGAAGTTAGAGGTTAGTTGAATGACCATCTTAAAACTTGCATTTGAAAACTCATTAGAAGATTGATAAAATTAAAGCTTCTCAACAACAAGTTTCATTTACTTTTTGTCAAGTATATCATTCATTTCAAGTTCTCGAGGCGACAACATATGATCAACGATGTTTAAATGATTCACTTAAACCAAAGTTTATGAAGATTCGTTAGAGGATTTATAAGATCAAAGCCTCCTAATAATGAACCTCAATGTTATTGAATCAAAGATTTCAAATTAAACATATTTAGGCTTGCAAACATAGGTTTGGGCCACGAATGATCATTTCTCGAATCAGGACAAATTTAGCACTATGTTAAGCAATCGTAAGTGAACTTATATAGAAGTTGTAACACTCGAGACCGAAAAGGGCGAGGAGTGGTTGCACTGCATGTAACACCCGAGGCCTAAGAGGGCAGAGGTGGTCTCCACATCGGAATGAGAGGGATACCGAGGCTATACAGGTATGAGACTGTATGGTTGAAGGAAGACTTATAGGATTAATTGGTACTACCTATACCAACAAGATGCATCTTCTTTTCGATAGCCCATTCATAAGAACTCCATAGTTAAGCGTGCTTGACTGGGAAGTTTCTTGGAAAGCATATCAGTAAGGATAAATCATGCTGAAAAGACTCGTGTTTGTTTATGGGGTCAGTCGATAATCCTGAAGTAGTATGGCGCATTACAAATGGGGCATTACAAATGGTATCAGAGCGATACCTCTCCCAGTACGATGTGGTTCGAGGATGAACCATGCAGAAGCTGGTGGGCATGTAACACTCGAGACCGAAAAGGGCGAGGAGTGATTGCACTGCATGTAACACCCTAGGCCTAAGAGGGCAAAGGTGGTCGCTACATCGGAATGAGAGGGATCCCGAGGATATGCAGGTATGGGACTTCATGGTTGAAGGAAGGCTTATAAGAATTAATTGGTACTACCTATATCAACAAGATGCATCTTCTTTTTGGTAGTCCATCCATAAGAATTAATTGGGTGACCTTCTCGGAAGTTTCTCGAAAAGCATATCAGTGAGGATAAATCATGCTGAAAAGACTCGTGTTAGTTTGTGGGGTCAGTCGATAATCCTGAAGTAGTCTGGGGCGTTACAAAAGTCGCACCTATTTTGAGGTGAGGTCAATAGCAATCTATGTACCATATGTTTAGAGAAATGATATGTAGATCATTCTCCAACAACATGTAGCACAAGTAAAAACAAGAAAGGAATAAGATGAAGAGGGATGGGAATGATAAACTAATTTAGATCATAACCTCAAAATTCTTTCATCTTTAAATTCAATCACTCATCTTGGTTTGTGGGGTCAGTCGATAATCCTAAAGTAGTCTGGGGCGTTACAGAAGTCGCACCTATTTTGAGGTGCAGTCAATAACAATCTATGTACCATATGTTTAGAGAAATGATATGTAGATCATTCTCCAATAACATGTAGCACAAGTAAAAACAAGAAAGGGATAAGATGAAGAGGGATGAGAATGATAAACTAATTTAGATCATAACCTCAAAATTCTTTCATCTTTAAATTCAATCACTCATCTTGGTTTGTGGGGTCAGTCGATAATCCTAAAGTAGTCTGGGGCGTTACAGAAGTCACACCTATTTTGAGGTGCGGTCAATAGCAATCTATGTACCATATGTTTAGAGAAATTATATGTAGATTATTCTCCAACAACATGTAGCACAAGTAAAAACAAGAAAGGGATGAGATAAAGAGGGATGCGAATGATAAACTAATTTGGATCACAATCTCAAAATTCTTTCATCTTTAAATTCAATCACTCATCTTGATGGATTAAAGTACTAAACATATCACTAATTCAAAGTATCATAAATGAATTAAATAATTCACTCTTAGGTATATTTGAATTAATGAACATTTATCCAACTTTATCCATACCCAAAGTCCATTGAATTTAAAGAGAAATTGAACATTTAAAATTGCAATCTAAAGCAACAATCGAAAGAAGTGAGTAGAAAAAGAGAAAGGAATAAAAAATATCCCCAAAACAAGGAAAAAAAAACATTTTGTCCCAGTGCAAATCGATTTGCATGTCTATGCAAATCTATTTGCACAACAAAATTTTCAAAATCCGCGTAAGACAATAATGTGCAAATCAATTTCACACTGGGAGCAATTGATTGCTCACTGTGAAAAATAGAAAATCAATATTTTAAAAGGCAAAATTCTTGCTCAAACTTTTCATCAAACACCTTATGATCTTGGATTTAATTGAGCATGAAAATTCCATCAAATTGTAAGAAATTAAGACCAACGGAATCAAAAAAAGTAGCTCAAAGAATTAAATCACAAAGATCAACAAGAGATCACATTGTGAAAGATGAAGATCCAACTTACTAAAGATAGATCTAGAAAATTATCAAAACAACTTCAAAAACTTGCTTCAATTCAGCCCCAAGAATCAATCTCCTAAGCTTGGATATAGAGAATTGATGAAGAAAAGGTGTTTGGATGAAGGTTTAGCTCAAAGATTTGTAAGCTTCAATGAAAAGCTTACTAACTTTTTTAAAAAAAGGAGCTTTGAGTGAATTTGGTAGATGGAGAGAATTGAGAGAATTCTTTTGCAAGGTGAATTTGGCTATCAAAAGCTTGAGAATTGAGTGAAATAAGGGCTCTATTTATAGAGTTTAGGCTTGGGATTAGTGGTGGTTTGGAACCAAAATTAGGCTTGGTAATTGATTTTTGGAGCAAAAAATTGACAAACTTAAAGATTGTTTTTTTTTCTTTAAAATTCCGCATATGCAAATCGATTTACATGTCTGTGCAAATCGATTTGCACAGCAAAAAAATGAAATTTTAGTGCAAAACAAAAGAAAAAGAAATTATGGAAATCGATTTTCTCAGAGAAAAATCACTAGAAAACTTTGTTTGTTGGATGCTTTGGCTTGATACCTACAAAACACAAATATACAAAAACAAAGCAAATATTTTTGGTATTTTGATTAGAGGTTAGTCAACAACACATATATAAAATACACAACTAAGGTGATTGGAGATCCCTTGATAGTAAACTTAAAGATAGGGAACAAACCCAAAGAGATAACCAACCTGAAAGTGTGATCTTGATGTATTGATGTTATGCGATGACGAGAGGATCTTAGGGGAAAATTTTGGGGTATAATAGCTACCCTTATTTAAGTGTCTTCTATTCGAAGATACGAAGATTAAAATCTTTGTCTCGATGCTGTAGTGGTAGAAATGTTTAAGACTAAGCCATTGGATTGACTATACTTGTACAGATCAAAATAAAAATCTCCACCGCGCTTTATTGTTTCCAAAGGAATGAGAAAAGAGCGAGTAACCCAAAAATAAGGGGAAAGATTCAAGGTAAGGGGGTTGGTTATGCAAAGGGAAGGTATTAACACCCTAAACATCTACGATACTTTGCAGGAACCTCTTTGAAAAAATCTGTATATTTTGGCTATAAAATGTTGTATGTAAAATATATGGTAGATGTGAGAGAAGAAATATATTTTTTATGATTTTTGCACCCGCCGCGGTTGCGAACTTTTAGTGCATACGTACCACCTTTCGTGCAATAGGGGATCAA